AAAAATAGAGAAGAAAGATCTCCCAGATGTACTGAGATTCGAGCCATCTCTTTGATTAATTTCAAGTTGAAGATTAAAAGTCTGCTTCTGAAATTAAGCAGAGAATCTGAAATGTGCTTCTCGAAAAGTCGATCAATTACAGTCGCTTATAAATTGGAAATCACCGTTCTTTGATGTTCCTACAAAAATTAACTGCAAATTGATCAAAGAAATGGTAGACAAAAGATGGCTCGAGACATCCCGTGCACTAACAATAAGTATGCAAAATATTATAGCCAGGATCTCAATAACTGGTACATTATATAATATGTTATTGTCAACTCCTTATTGCGCAGATAATGTAAAGAAGAGAGACGTGTGATACTTTATATCCTTGCTTATTCTACCTGAATCGTTTACCACAAAGGATGCACGTTGAATTTTCACACACATGAGTTAAGAAAGTGTTTTATTTTTTTTTTTTACAAAAGACCTTTTTTAATCATTATCTTAAAATTACATATAATAGTTTTTTATTATCACAGCGTTAATCTAAAAAGTATTTACGCACGCATATGCGTGCGCTTGAATAACAAGCAATTGAAGCAAATGCAATTCACGACAGTAATAGTAGGAATGTAACTCGCTTATTCGTAATTAAAACCACTGGAATGCAAATATAATTGCAATGATTATACGTATATGAGTACAAGATGTAATCACTTACGGTATCGTATTTTTTTTTTTTTTTTAATTACTCTAATCTTCACATTATTATTCTGAATCTCTATATAAAATATAAATTACAATATTGCGTTTCCAAATAAATATTAATCGATCATGTGTGATTCTTCAAAAATTTATCCTGTGCTACAAAAAGGAGAGAGGGGGATCATCTCGATAAAAAATTATATCCATTGCAGTATAATATTGCAAACCAGAAGTAGGATAAAAATAGCAATTTTAAGAATAAATATAGAGACGTTCCCGGTTCCTATTCATCTGTCAAACGTCGCGTTTTCCACGTCACTTGCTTACAGCTGAAACGAATTAAATTCATAATTTGTAAGAAAAAAGATTCTCCCCGATTCACAAAATTCTTAGATCTCTGCACACATTTGTACAAAAATCTTTTAAATGTATTGTATGCGTTGTAATTTTTCGAAATCGATCTTACAAATTACAAGCTTGATTTGTTCCAGGCATAGACGTCGTACTTTCCTTCGATTTTACGATCTCGAGGCTCTACTCACCTGCTTATTGTTGGTCATGTCTGACGTTAGACGGGAACTGGAGACAGCCGGTGCTCGACGAGTACACGTGCGCGGTGAGACGATCGTCGCCAGTGCACAACGGGGACACGGTAATCGACAAGCCGGGACCCATGCATGTGCAGGTGGTTGAAGAAGTAGAGAGAGAGGGAAAAAAGAGAGAGAAAAAAAGAGACACAAGAGATGGATAATATTGCAACCAACTACACAAGTCGTTCTCTCACGTCGCGCTTACTAGAAGAAACAAAGGGAAATGAAACACGCGTCTAATTAGCAAACCATAAAATCATATATAAAGTGGCATGGCTGTATGGGATAAAGGTTTCTTTCATGGTTTACACGTCATGCGTGCGCTATGTATACATAGGGTGTCTAAAAATCACCGGATGTCCGTTTAATGACCAGATCTCTATAGCCAATTCGATAAAAAGTATCGAGGCATAGATAATTTTCAAGTTACAAGCGATTAAGAAAGAAGGGCTTTTTTGAAATGTGATAATAGTATATAGTATATTTTTTATCTTTGGACGGAGTTTAACAAAAGTTTGATTTATGGCTTAATTATATACAAGGATAAAGGATGATCCCCGTCGACCTTTTTCTTTTCAGGAAAAAAATCGCTTTTAAATCGGCTAATTGTATAAGATTAAAATATCTGTCGTTAAAAGGACACGCTATATAATGTAAACTCCACTATGGACTGTACATTAAATAGTTTCGGATTAAAAATGTTCTCTCGACAGTATCATCAGTTTCTACCTTTAACGTACGTGCATTTCACCCGATTTTGTTACCCGAAGAGATTACGAAATCGAATGCACATCGAGAATATAATATATAGGGTGAGTCACTAGAAATTGTCTTCTAAGATATCTTTATAAATATTGATTTTAGACAAAAAGGTTTAAGATAAAAGTAAAATTATTTTAAAAAAGCTACATTTTGGTCGTCTTTTTGGTAGTTTTTTTTTAGATGCAGTTTCAGAAGGTTTTTAAGGTCATTTCAAGTTTTTTCAAGCTCGTTTCAAAATCACTCCATGTTAACGTGTCATAGATCGTTCGTCTTTTTATCTTCCACAATTATAACTAATTAAAAATAGAGTTTTCCATTTAAAAAACTTGAGATAATCTTCAAAATTTTTTGATGCCTGCATCTAAAAAAAAAAAAAAAAAGTAGCCCTTTCAAAATAATTTAACTTTTGTCTTAAACCTTGTTTAAAATTAATATTACTGAAGATATCTTAGAAGGCAATTTCTAGTGACTCACCTTATATATGCACAAACGGATATGTATATATTATATCAATTACGCTTGGATTCCGAAACTGATGACTTTACTTCAAATCTCATTCCTGATACATACATATAAATGTGCCATGCGGGGAAGAAATAAAGTTGCGTTTCACTATCTCTCGCGTGACACTTATAGCGATTGAATAACAAAGGGATTACGAAATCGAGAAAGATTGCGAACACCACGTGCGCTCGCGCAGAGTATCAAGAATACGTAATGACAGTTCGAAACGTTCAATCGCATCAGCTGTTCAGTTTCTACTGACGAGTGATTGTCTATAGTGTTGAGTATTCGCGCGGAATCTGACGCTTTCTGTCACCGGATATTCTGTCATCGCGTCAATTTGCGTGTTATCATTTTGCAACTGATACTGTTACATTCTTCCTCTCGAATATACATTTACGAATTATCAATAGAAATAATTACTCGAAATTTGAGATTCATTTAATTTAATTAAGCTCTTAATTCATTTAATTAAGCTCTAGACACGGTAAAATAATGGCACGTTTTCATTAAAGAAATTTCGAGAAAAATATTATGTTAAAAAAATTTATATAAATTTCCAGAATTATTTAGCATTGTTTTTTTACAATTAGACATGTTTATGTATCTCTTATATTGAAAGCGGCGTGCGATAAAAAATTATATGTTGATCTCACCGCTTCTTATCATTTCTTATCCTACGGTAGAGGGTCTATATAAACTATCGCATGCATACACGTCAAACATAGCAACGAAACACAGACGATAAATGAAATATTCCTGTCGTTTGTTTACATACTATACGATTCTACCATGGCATCAATTTAAAATTCCTTCACACGTGAAATGCGATACTAACTAAATCGAAAATCGCGATTATACTAGAGTGCGAAGCAATTTGTAAATTTACAATTACAAGTAGTAAGTAACATTATTAAAAAAATAAATAAATAAATAAATAAAAAATAAAAAATCTATCTTCTACGTTAAAACGTCGAAGAATAGCAAATATCGTACAGACCGTAAAGCATAGCGCACTCGGTATAATAACTCGACGCAAATAATAATGATCGCCTTTGTACTCACTTTACCGCTAGGCTTGTAACAGGCCCTCGCGTCTACCATGTTGTTCATGATCGTGTGCTGTTCCTCGATGCCGTCGAAACCCAATTTCTCCGTCAGTTCCTCCCTCGTACGTATCATCTCCCGGTGGACGACGTTGTATCCCATAGACCTCGCGATCCCCGAGCAAAACTTCTACCTTTTTTTAAGGACGCTTATTTCTTCCGGAAGTTGATTTACAAAGTCAGTTGACGCGCGCGACCGAAACCGTTCGTCGCTTCACCGGCATCGCTTCTCCCCCTCGACGTCTTCTTACCGTTCCGTCAATCGCGAAAGTACCGAGAGTACAGACGCAAAAGTCGAACACGTGCTGCGAGTGCACCTTCGATCGGAAATTTGTTAATCGCAAACTCATATATATAAACACGCACACGCGCACGGTATCGATCTGACGTACCGCGTGTAAACACCTTTCCTGCGTGACACGAACGGACGCCACAAAAAGTGACAGACAATGATCCCCTCTATCTATGCAAATACTGTAGATAATAAATACGTCCAACTCTTGAAAAATCCTTTGTCTTGCAAGGCAACCACTGAAACAGCGCCATCTATTAATCTGAGGTGATAAACTCTTGCTTCATAGAGTGTTACTGGCTGGGTAACAATGTAAATGATAAATAAAAATACGTATATAATTGTGAGATATTTTCTTTAATTTAACATTTTTTGTAATAATAAACCTTTTCTTCTTGCTATCATTAATTTTATTAACATAGGCTTTTAATAAAACGTTAAAATATTTATCTAAAAATATTTTATAACAATCGTTACATATTTTCCTTAATATTACAATTTGATATTAATTTTGTTTTAACATTTGATGTACTTTCGTTAACATTTCCAGATTCCACACGATGCAAACGATCAGTTTTCATTAATATAATCACGAACCACTTAACTACGAGACAAGCGTTCTCCTCTACTAAAAAAATACTAACAACTCAGGCCGCGTGGTAGCGCTAGTGCGCTGTATTGCCTGTTTTTAATCAAAGTTGGACGTATTATTATCTGCAGTATTTGATCTATGTTTGCGTAGCTTTGAGAGTCACGATATACGTAATATATCTAGAAGAATAAGTTTGCACGACTGTAAAATATATATATGCACAGGAGAATCGACCAATCGCGCGTCCAGACTGTGCGGGATGCGCTGATTGGCTCCTGGTGCAGGGATCCTAGAAATTCCCTATCCGATAGCCAATCGGCACGTTTGACTATTTTATATTTCGTACGACGCACTGATTGGCTATTAGTATAGTTTGTGTTGTATATGACAAGGCCAGCTCGTATGCAACACGACTTATTTCACGATGACGTCACCGTGTAAGGTTTATTTATAAAACAGCCGACGACGTTCTTCGCGTATTCGTACTTTGAACTTATTCGTGCACCTGGCGCGTCACAGAAGCCGCAAGCCACATTCGTGTATTCGCATCGTCCTCGAGAAAAGTACGTGAATCTATAAATAGAGCTTGAGCCGACAAACAAAATTCGCTGTCGTTTCTTTCGTCGATCGTCGTTCACGTCAGCGTGAAAATTGTCACTGCTGTAAACAGGTTGGATTATTCGATAGAGTTACAAATGTTCTGACACATCAAAAATATCTTTGACTCCGCGATTTCTGATACTGCTTATCGAAGATATCTTTGGTGCTGCATTGTTCTAAAGGATCTGCCGGTATAGTCTTAAGTCTAAAAGCCAACAATTCATCATCGCGGTTCGTGAATCTCAACGACGTGACTTCTCTTCGTAAGCGCATCGTGTCGGAAATTTTTGACAATTGATACGTACTTACGGATGAATTTCAACGACTGATAAGGCTCTAAATTTCCGCGAATCTCGCGTACACATCTCGTCATATAATTGATTTGTTCGAGATTCCACGTCATTTCGTTTTATTCATCACGCAGAGAGATCTTATATATACTTATTGTTAGACAGATAATTAATGTCGCAGTACTATGAGTCAACGATTTTCTGTTTTTTTTTGTATAATTATCGCGTATTCTATTACAAACATTTTATACAGACGAAAGTAGGAAGCGTCATGTTACAATCGTGATAGATAATAAAATTAATTCGATAAAGAAAAATTTCAAAAAGTTTAAAATATAATAAATAAATATCAACTTGTGTGTTTTACATTATTTTCAGGTACTCGCATACATAAAAGCAAAATTAAAAATAGACATGAGTTTACAATGGACACTCGCTGCTGGTTTCCTCTATATCGAAATTGCTATAGTTCTTTTTCTGGTATTACCAGTAGCTTCGCCAACTAGATGGCAAAAGCTCTTCAAATCTCGCTTTTTACAAAGTATAACCAACCAAGCTTCCATATATTTTATAATTCTGCTTGGTGTCTTGGTTCTCTTCCTATTGGATGCTATACGAGAAATGCGAAAGTATTCCAAGACTGGAGATCATGGTGATCACTCTCATTTAAATTTAGAAATGCAAGGTAAATTATTTAATGTATATATTTCGTATTTATCATGTATTAATATCACATTCTTATCTATTAATTGCAGCATCGTTATGTCTGTTTTTTTAAATATCGTGTTTCTTTTTATAGAAAACATGCGACTGTTTCGTGCACAGAGAAATTTCTATATATCCGGCTTTGCGTTATTTTTGAGTTTGGTGATACGACGTCTTGTCACTTTGATATCCACTCAAGCTACATTACTCGCTCAAAATGAGGCAGCCATGCGACAAGCTCAGTCTGCAACCACCACAGCCAGGAGCTTACTGTCACAGAGGACAATTGGGGAAAGTGCACAGAATGATTCTAATGAAGCACATGACAAACAAGTTTCAGAATTGAAAAATCAGATCAAAGAGTTGCAAGCTAAAAATTTGGAACTTGAAAATAATTTGACCAAAGAGAAAAAAGATAAAGAAGCAATCAAATCACAGGCAGATTCACTTGCAAAAGAATATGATCGTTTGACTGACGAGCATGCAAAACTTGTGCAGTCGAGTAGCGATAAGAAAAGCGATTAAACATGAATATTTTTTTCTGTTTGTTTTTTTATTTTAATATTTTGCTCACATTAAGCCTAAAATATTATCATATTGTATTTTTTGTTCCATAATTTGAACAAGATCCACATTTCACGAGTTACTGTTGACATATATTTACAAGTTTCGTTAAAAAGTTGTATATAAAAATATTAATATTGTAATGTGCCTCATAATATATACTATCATCCTTTTTCCAGTTTTGTGCACTTTCTGCATATAAAAGCCTATATTTTATGCACCCATATTTTGTTATTACAATATTCTTACATATAAGTTAATTAAAATTCATAAGTCAAAGAATTTTATAAAGAAAGAAAGCTGTCAATTACTTTATATTTTTTTTTGCAAAAGTGATACAAATTTTAATAGCAAATGTCAATTTTAATCATTTTATACACTATATGAAAATGATTTCAATTTCTTACTAAATACTGCACATGCAACATCTTAGATGCACACATCTTAGATAATATATTTCAAGTACTTCCAATTTTGCATTTGCAACATTTTCTCATTTTATATTTACTGATAATCTTACAAAATCGTATATTAGTATTATTTTCCATAATGCTATACTGTTGTAGACCCTTATTTGGGTCATATACCCCAGATTATGCTGTATATATTTTGATCTATGAATAGAATGTACTGAGAATCTCAAAATAACAAGTTCAGGTTGTTTTTCATAATGCATGCTTTCCTACATAACTATTACAAACCTATTATTTTAATGAACAAATCTTGTGCCTTATACAATATTATATTGTATTTTGTCATCCAGCTGTGGAGAAAAACGCTATTAAAATGTTTTAAAATGAAAGGAAGAGCTTTGTGTTTGATGCTTAACAATATTTATCTTGTATACGTAATATTTTTCACTTTATTATAAATTGTAATATATATTTTTCATATTTATTTTTTACATTTTTCTCCATGTGTTTTTTGCTTTATACTACTTTCCATCAGCAATGTTCTGCTAATTGTGAAATTAGAATAAGCACTTCAGAGGCATTATATCTTATCATACAATTTATTATTTGTTGACTAAATGTCCTTTGAATCCTTGCTGTAATCTAAGAAGCGCATAAGTAGATACATATTACGAACGCGCTTCAATCACACGTGTATAGTGCACATTCAGACAATTTGAAAATTCTTCTACTAAGTTTGAACATTTGAGAGTCTCCTTGGGATGGTCCTGGAAACACTTTATGACTTTATTACTACCTTCCAGACATGGTTGTACTGTACTCTGGACATCGACACTTTCTTGCCCTATAATAGTAAATTATATTTAATTTTACACAAATCTAGAAAATACAACATTTAATCTTATATTTAAAGCATTGATTTAATATCCCTCATATTCTTAAAATTGATATAATTTGTTCTCGAGCAATTAAAGCAAAATATACATTCTATTTAATTATACATGAAATTAACTTTTTCAAGATATTAAAATAAGAAATAGATTCTTAATATCAATAAAATTGTTATCTCGGATATAACGGTAAGAGCTTTGTTTGATAAATATATATAATACAAATAGTTAACAAATCTCTAGAAAATAAATTACGTTCTTAAACGATATCTAAACTCTCACCAGTCTTAGTTGTAGACGTTTCAGTAATAGCTTTCTTATGCTCGTCCTCCAAGATACGATTAATTTTCTGGTAACCCTCCTCTAAGTTCTGTAATCGCTTGTGCCAGTATTGATCTTGCTTCTTCAATTCTTGTTCCATGTGTTGTTGCATTTGAAGTGCGGACATTGTTAATTCAGGATAATGCACCGGCTGTCCGGGTGTCGCATCAGTAGCGGGAGGACTAGGAGGTGCTGGGTGCTGGCTCGGCGAGTCGGCTTTTGTAGAGGGTTCGCCGATCTCTGAACCGTCCCGTTGCGCGAGACGCTGCACAATCGCGTTGGACACCTTGATCACCCCGACTTCTTCTTCATTCGAAATGGTCAACTTGCGAGCACTCTGACCGGAGCCCATCTTCGGGGTCCTAGCTAATCAGCTCGCGGAAACTTCACAATTTTGAGAGTCACTCTGCTCTTAATCTACACAAAAATAATCGTCTCTTTCAATGCGATTACTTACAGCATCATTTATTCATAATCTTATCCAATCCATTGACAGCGGCGAGCTGTCTTTCGCAGCTTTGTCAAAAAAATGAAGTTACATAAATATTCTGAACGATGGCCCATCCACCAGTTCCACTACCTTCCAGGATTGCGTTCCAAAATCTACTCATCGGAATAATGCAGCGTTTGGTTGACCAATCAGGATAAAGAAAGCAAAAATGTCTTTGTTTTGATTGGTCAATCGCACTCTTCTTTTGCTCGACAAGTACATTTTCGAATGCAAGCTGGTATGACCATATTTAATCCGACCACGAGGTTAGTGGTTGCTGTCTTGTTCTATTGGATTATTTTTTTCGTATATTTTTTAATAATTGAGAGAAGATATTTTAAGGATATCCCAAATAAAAACTTTTGTTCAAACGCTGGATTTTTCCTACAAGTCGGAAGGAAATTAAATTTTATCAAAAAAGAGATCGAATTCTTTGAAATATAACCTAGAAAGGATATTTTCTGTTTATAATTTATGTATAAAAGCATAAAAAATAAATTAAGGATATAAATAAGAATTTATATATAAAGAAATAAAGAAAAAAGAAATTGTTAATTAAAATACGAATAATGAGATTTTGTTTTAAATGTCACATATGGAATGTTGTTGCGTGTCTTTATTTATTAAAAAATTTTGCTGAATTTATCTAGAAAAATTCTATATATAAAAAAAAAAAGAAGAAAAACGTGATATTACCTTTAAAAAATCGGTATTCATAGAAAAACAGTGCACATAGATGTATGCTTTATGAACTTTTTACTTTTTAGCTATATATAAATCCATAAAATGGAGTATATTCCAGTTTCTGATGCAGCGCAAACTAAGAGCGCGATGTATGTATATATGCTATACAAGATATTCTGATGAGATAAAAATTAGTTTTTGCATGTATTAATGATTGTTCTTTATTTACAGCCTTTGCTGCGAATGTGGGACTGTTATCGAGCCAAACCCTGCCAATATGTGCGTAGTATGCTTGCGTAATCACATCGACATTACAGAGGGAATTCCTAAACAAGCTACCTTACAGTTCTGTAAAAGCTGCGAAAGGTTTGATATTTTTCAAAAATTTTTTAAACTTGGCATTCATGTATGAATAAATAATGATCAGATTGTTCAAATATTGTATTCATATGATAGATATCTTCAGCCACCTACTGAATGGATTCATGCTGCATTGGAATCCAGAGAGCTCTTATCACTGTGTTTAAAGAAATTGAAAGGATTAAATCGTGTAAAATTGATAGATGCTGGATTTATATGGACAGAACCACATTCCAAAAGATTAAAAGTAAGTTCCTTGTATGTAACACAATTAAAATTGAGAAGAAAATTATGGCATTTATGTATAACTACTAAATTAAAATTATAATTTAAATTAATATTGAATTAGGTCAATTCAATGTTAATTCAATTGTTAATATGAATTGATACTCGAAATTTATATATAAATGATACTTGAAATTTATATATAAATGTATAATTTGTATAATTTTTTACATATATTTGCATTTAATGATTATATACATTTGCTATAGATAGTATTTATAATAAAATCTAATAATAAATTAATTATTTTTAATATTTTTCTTAGGTAAAATTAACTGTTCATGCAGAGGTACTTGGTGGTGCAGTTCTACAGCAAGTATTTGTGGTCGAATATATGGTGAATCATCAAATGTGCAATGATTGTCACCGTACAGAGGCTAAAGATTATTGGCGTGCGAGTGTAAATTTCAAATTTTATATTTAAAAAGAAATTGAAAGGAATTTAAATGCCAATTGATTATACATAACTTTTTTATACATATGGCATGTACATATATATATATATCTTATGGTCTTTTACAGGTACAAGTTCGGCAAAAAGCAATCAACAAGAAAACTTTTTTTTACTTGGAACAGCTTATATTGAAACATAAGGCACATGAACAAGCACTGGGAATAAAGCCTATTCATGGTAAATGAATATGAGAACTTTTGTAATATCAAATAAGAATTACACGTATAAATTTAAAATTTTTTTTAAATATTTACAGAGGGTTTGGATTTTTTCTATGCAAATGAAGCTATGGCTAGAAAAATGGTTGATTTCTTAGTAACAGTCATACCTTGTCATTATGAACATTCAAAAAAATTGATTTCATACGATTGTCACAGTAATGTTTACAATTACAAATTTACATATAGGTAAATATATATTGCAATGACACGCATTTTAATTTTATTTAATAACTTTTATACATTGAACAGCGTCGAAATTGTTCCAATTTCCAAAGATAGCATAGTCTGTCTACCACGAAAGTTAACTCAGCAATTGGGTGGAATCAGCCCTATTTGTTTGGTATACAAAATTACAAATTCTGTGCATCTTATAGATGTTTCATCAGGACAAAGTAAGTCATTTTAGCACTAATTATAATATATAAAAATAATTTAATTAATGGCATATAGCAATTTCATCTTTCTAGTTGCTGAAGTAAGCGCAACTGTCTACTGGAGATGTAACTTCAACAGTATATGTAATCCGAAACAATTAACAGAGTTTGTCGTGATGGACATAGAACCAATAAAACATACAGATATAAAAACTTTCCCAGGGCAAGGGTCTATCTCTAAAAAAGTAAGTTTTGTATGAAATATTTCAACCAACCACATTTAATTGTCTACATTATTTAAACTTATTGAAAAAAGAATTTGTATCTGCATTATTTGATGATCAGATTCTAGAAATAATAAATGTATTTCTGTAAATACATTTAATTTATCTTGTAAAAAAATATATTTTTTAATGAATATTTAAATTTTTCACACATTATATGTATGATTGTAAATAAATATAGACATATATATCTTGTTTACAATATCAGAAATTCGTGATGTGTAATTCACTATAGATGAAAATACATGATAATTAATTTTTAGCACGTCACAGCAGATGCGTGGCTAGTAAAAGCATCCGAATTAGGGATAAATGATAATCTAATTCACACACGTACACATTTAGGCCATGTACTTAAACCAGGTGATTCGGTTTTGGGGTAAGATTATAAAAAGTAATTTATAATAAATTTACAGTATGTAATAATATATAAATAGTAATAATATGTAAATATTGTGCCTTGTGAGAAGCACGGGGATTTCGAGAACGTGTGCCGGGAATTTAGGAATTCGGGCTCCGCTCAGAAAGAATCACCACTTTTGTCGTAGTATATATATGTATTTGTAACGTAGTTTTTCAAATATAATTTGTTCAATTCATATCTTCTAATTAATATGGTTCATCAATCTTTGCTCCAGATTATGTCTTATGTTTATCGCGGCATCGAATGTTTGAAGTGTCCAGTATGTGCTAGACTTAGATTAGATTAGATGACTTCGCGATACTGACTCGAGCTTCACTCAGACTGTCCGCAATTGATAATTACAATTGTGTGTGTTTCGTGATATACTATTCAATTTATAATTACGATTGTCCGCCGCCCGTTCGCAATGGATGGTTTCATTATCTCCCCTTCGATTAATTTTTCGAAGAGGATTGCTTGGCGACATGACCATATATGATCGTGACAAATAGGAATATATATAAGTTGTTTCTTTTTTGCACTATTGTAGTTATGCTCTGAAAAATAGTAATATAAATGATACCAATTTCGATAAACTAAGCGAAGATGCAGTACCCGATATTATTCTGGTAAAAAAGATTTATGGCCACGATAAGGCTGCCCGTCGCAGAGCGAGAGTGTGGAAGTTGAAACATATCGCTGACGAAATATTCAGCATGAGTACCGAAAATAAGTAAGAAACAATATATGTACAAAATTTAAAATACATCTTGTGTACTGTAGATTATCTCACATGAAACGATTTTAATTTACAGCGAGTATAATGAATTCCTCGATGACTTGGAAGAAGATCCGGAATTGAGGCAGAACATTAATATATTTCGAGATTCTAGGAAACAAATTCCTGTTGATACTGACGAAATAGATCCGAGTATTCCGCAGATTACTCTTGAAGAAATGCTAGACGATCTTGTAATCGAAGACACCGAAATGGCCGAAGTTTCCGAATAAAAGAACATATATTTGAAAGAATAATCTTTTGCAAATCACATTTTTTAAAAATGTAGTCGCGAAAAATTTTAAAATGCTTTTTTTAGAATTTGGCAATGGATCGCTATCACCATCTATAATAATAATTTATCACCATTTATAATAATGTTTAATATTGTCGGATTATAAGAAATCAATCTATTATTTGTCATATCGTTTCGACGATATATATATTTTATGTATAAATTCTAGAAAAAAATAAAACGGATAATGTACATAGATAAGCACAGTTGAGCTTCTTTTTCCATATTTATGCGATTATTGAAACATTTATAGAATGTATAATGTTCATGCGTTTGTAGAATGAGCAATCAGCATGTTCAGTAAAGAATATCGTTATTTCAATCTTGAAATGTAAGAGTAAGTAAGACAGATACATTCTGGATATGTTTTCACGCAATGATTTGTTTACACAGATATTAAATAGATTCCTTTGTAAATACATATAATGTATAATATTTCATAAATATTTTTGTCAATGTGTATGTTGGATCAAAGTTTGCTGTATAATAAACAGTTTCAATATAGAAGAGGGATAATGATGATAAAAGTGGGGAATTATCTTAAAGATATAATGATGCTCTACTGTACATGTACAATCGCTTTTTGTTACTACAGTGAGATGTACTGATGTGGACTCAATCGTGTCAATATGCAGTTCTATAAAGTATTATTTTTTGCACTTTTATTAAAAGTTGCAAATAGTAATGGAATCAATTATGAAGGTATGAAAAAATATATTAATATAATTACTCTATCAGTATTTTCATATCTCTCGATAGTTTTTTTATTAATTATATATATATATTCTAAACATGTGTTTATTATGATATCG